TGTTCTAGTCACACATTTGTTTCCATTTCAGTGGAGGAAAAGAACATTCATCTAATACTTACCGCCACATTTGGTAAACTATGAAGAAGAACCATACATTGTGATTGATTTGTGTTTCCCGAAACCACCGGGTTTTAAAGAAATACAACAGGTTTGGAGTAGGTTAAATGTGGAAAATGTCTGACAAATATGGCATTATGATATATGCGAGTGGGATAACAATCGCTGTTTGGTGATGGAATTTAATTCTAAGTGTTGTTTCTACTAAGATGGGTTTTTGATAATAAGAGCCCACCTGGAAAGATATTCACCAGTTTATACTATCAGCAAAGACAGAAACTTAAAACAAGTTGCTGTCAGCATCGACATTTAAATATTTTGAATTATTTTCTGCATTAATAGCCAGGAAATAAAATCGTCAACGCTAGAGAATAATCACTCTCGTTTATCCCACTAAACAGATACCACTGGGTGTAAAAAGCAAACTAGTGGAATATTTTGATAAAAATGGATCACTGAAATCATGGATGACACCAGGTGTTCGCGAAAAGGACAAGCACGCCCTGCCCTATCAGTAGCATCCGCCACAATTTGCAAAAAAGGTATGTATTTGTTGCCTGACACTGCACAGCCATTCCCCTGTCATGCAATGCGTCATGTAAACAAACCAGACTATCAAGTGAAGGTCAGAAATCCAGTCACACGATAGAGCATTTACAGATTTTGTTGAAACTAAAAAAAATATTTTAATATATTGTTAAAAAAAATTCTTGAATAAAATTCAAAAACATGAAGCAACAATTTCATGTACGCTCTGACATGGACTGAAATATATTATTTATGTTATTATATGCCAAGGATGTCATGTACAACATATTGGACAAACGGAGTGCTTGAGAGACAGAATGGGCGTCCATAAACAGATAAAGGACCCCATGCAAGGTTCATCCCCTTAAGCGCTCAACAAATGCGCAGCAGGAAAAGAAATAGAATTTAAGATATACCCTTTCTGTAAAATGAATACTGCTGATGCCCAGCAGTGTAAAGACAAAAAAATGTTTTCATTAAAAGGTTATATTTTGTATTTATTGTGAAAGTTACCACTGTCATTGTAAAGCCGCTGTCTTATAACTGTAATCGCTTCTCCATGAAGATACAATTGAAGGTGATGAGGTGAAGTGGGCTTTAACGTCGCGTCTAAGATTATTGCACTTATATAGCGAGGTGCATGTACGTGTGTGTGTTTGTGTGGCTGCTTGTACTAGTCCGGACTGATGCCGATTTATAGTGCTAGCTCACTGAGATACCATGCCGCAGTTTAACATGAATACCCAACTCAGACACAGTATACTGACTCCGAGCCGACAAGTCCTTGTTTTAGCCCCTAATGCCGAGCGCCAGACAGGGTAACAAAAAGTACCATCTTTTAACGTCTTTTGGTATGACGCGGCCGGGGATCGAACCTCGGACCTTCCGCTCTCCAGGCGTACGCTCTACCACTAGACCACGGAGGCGGTCAGATACAATTGAAACATGTAGAACGATTCGTGTTATTATTGCGTGACTTTCTTTTTATATATATTTCTTATATATAAAATCGTGTTGTCTATATATTTGCAGGATCATGAACATGACTAGATAGCTATCGTGGGTCATCAGATCCCCACAAATGAACGTGTTATCTACATTTCATGACATGACCGCGCACGGGAACATACGTCTTGCGTGCACCTGCTGTGTGCAGAATCACAACATCGTGACTGGCTGACAGGGTTGGTGTTGGTATCATTTGAAACAGAAAGTATATAAGAGGATCAACCAAATGAAGACTTTACTTTCAAAGCTTTTCGCTTAACTCCAGACATGAAAGTAACACTGGTTCTCGTCATTGTCAGCACCATTATTGGTGAGTTGAAGGTACTGACGGCTTTAATAGTTTAGTTAGTGTCTACGTTAGCCGATGAGATTTGTTATGTACATGTATTTTTTATAATGATAATAGTTCATATTATTCATAGATAATATTATTTATTTGCATTGCGCCTTTTTCCATGCTGGATATCAATGCGTTCTATTATGCCTCCGGGAAATGAATCCGTGTGCACTACATTTCAGCTCCCTGGGCAATATATAATCTGATCTGCCTATGAGGCACTAGAAGACCAATAGTGTCATAACCACCTCACCGGAAGGGTAACCCAATCACTGTTGAGTGAACAGAGGCATGTTTCGAACAAAGGCACTTGCCTTTGGAAAACACCACATGTACTACTTGGGCTACAGTGTTGGGCAGGTCCAAGAAACTCTTAGGAAACAAGGCTGCCAAACACGCTCAGCCATCCAATTGCTTTCTTCCACAAACGGTGCTTAAAGCCTTGACCTGTGACCTCCAAACAGGATCACGTGCCCTAACTTCTAATGAGATATCGTTTCTTTCGTTCAGCTGTGATCGACAGCGAGCCCTGCAGGGATGACAACGACTGTATTCACACGGTATGTGATAGTACCGGAAGGCTTGCCTGCTCTCATGACATATGTACCTGTCTGGTTGCAGCCAATAGCTGCGTCACAGGTAAGTCAGTTTACAAAATAGTGACCATAATAACTGCAGGCAACATATTTCATATGTGAACGTTTTTTTTGGCATCTGGAAAGGTTCTCCTACAAGAAAAGGTGGTGACTATAAGTCAATAAACAAATTGGGTTTCACGCCGCTGATATTATTTTTTAGACAAATGTAGAAGGAACGACAAATATGATACAGAACTAAGATGATTACCATTTTGTTGAAACCATTGGCAATACAAAAAAACAATCATGACGAATCTGTGATTCAAACCCACTACTAACGTAGCGTCAGCAAAACCCTGGCACAAAACTGCAAATAAGACATGCCCTTTAAATACAAGCCTGCATCAAATGAATGATGGAATCTAGTTCAAACCTCTGACAAATGTTTTTGTCCTGTGTTGTTAAGAAGGAGGTTTATATTTCAGAAACTTGCAGAGACCGCCCTGACTGCGACAGCTGCATTTGTAGAGACACCCATATCGAACGCCACTGCTTCGACGGCCGCTGCCTATGTGGACGTCAGGCACCTGTCGGCCCTGGTGGACCTGGTGGACCTGGCGTGTAAGTAACCATAGTTACCGCCGGAGGTTGTGAGGCATAGTTTTGGTTGATACACTTGAATCAGTTTTACGTTTCATTGACTTTTTAATTACTGTCGAAAGAAAGTTGATGAATTTGTTTGCTTTTTATGCTTGTTTGGTTTTATGTCAGGGGCAAATGTCTAAATTTAGCCTGAATGTGATTTGGGACGTCAACGCTTTGATGGTGTTGGTTCAGAATGTTGGTGAAACACAATATTAGGAATATGATTTTAGTCGTGTATATGTTTGTAAAACATACATAGTCGTCTTTGTATGGCATGTATATTTAAATCATTCGACATATAGAAACACTCTATCAGTCCTGTTTGTTTGTTTGTTGTTTAACGCGCACTCAGCAATAGTCCAGCTATACGACGGCGGTTTATAGCAGTCCTATGCTATGTGTTTGGATATGTGGTAAATAATGTAAATGTAAAACGTCGACGTTTAGCAATCAGTGTTGATCATCTACCTAAACAGATTTCATTGGGCGTAAAAGGCAAAATTGCAGTGAAAATTATATAAATGGATCACTGAAAATCAATGATGACACCAGGGGTTCGTTCCGCAAAGCGATTGCCATCCACATCCATATTATAGTTCTTACTCCAATTCAATTTCTTACTAAATATTCAAGTATGAAAATGCCACTTTTCATCTACCTTTTTAATTTCAGAGGTAAATAAATCCTGAAAGGAGGGAAACCCATGGAAATTATTCCTACCTTGTTGGATACACACATGTACACATGTGAAATAAACCTACTACTACCATTTACTGGTTTGTTTTGATGCTGAATATGTTTACTCTTATTGAATTGATGCTTTACCTGCTTATACCTATGGAGAACATCCTGTGGTTATTCCGTGTTTCTAGCCTATCCTCGTCAGATCAAGATACAATGTTCGTATCTGGATTGGCTAGATTTACGTGACGTCGCTTTTCATACAGTCGCGACACTCAAAGGGATTACATGAATTGGGTGGACAGGCCCGGTGGATTAGTTGATTGATCAACCGATGATCTGTCTGCTTCATACTCGACACATGCCCCAATGGTGTAAGTAAACCTTCGATTGGTAGGTTGGTTTGTTGTTTAACGCCGCACTCAGCATTATACCAGGTGTATGACGGCGGTCTGTAAATAATCGAGTCTGGACCAGACAATCCAGTGATTAACATCATGAGCATCGATCCACGCATTTGGGATCGATGACCTGCATCAAGTCAGGAAGCCTGATCAACCGATCCCGTTAGTCGCCTTTTACGACAAGCATAGTCACCTTTTTACGGCAAGCATGGTTTGCTGAAGACCCCGGAATCTTCACGGGACTGAAAACCTTAGTGACAACATTGCTGGGATACAAAAGATCGATTTAATAAACCTTTGCGTTTCGAAAATATTGTAAATAAAAGCGACAGAGGACAATTCCTTAATCAATGGAAATCTCTATTTAAAGTTTTCAACTAAATCATAAGGTTGTGTTTACGAGTAAAGTATAGTGCAGCCGTTTCGTGAAAAATTGTGTACTTTGTGGTGAAAACATGAAACTTAGTACAGTCGGAGGTGATGACATTCCAAATAGTTAAATATATGGGGCCACCCAAAAAATCCAACATGGCCGCCTTAGAGTGAGTGAGTGAGTGAGTTGGGTTTAACGCCGCTTTTAACATTATTCCAGTTATATCACGGCGTGTCAGCTTAATGTTGGAGGAAAGCCCGAAGTGATGCAGGTCTCAGACGTTTACCATTTCTGTGAAACCCACGAGCACGGGTATGGTGCTGACAAACCTAGAAACATAATCAGGGCGAACCGGGATTCGAATAAAAAATCATAGGTTTCTGGCGTGCCCAAGGGACGCAACTCTGCACAGCGAATCGCGGCCCCTTAGACGACTGGGCCACGCATGCCCCCTCAAGTGACACAGCTTACGGACTATGGCTTCAAACAACATTCTCCACTCCGTCTGGAATATGCATAGTAGAAGTAACCCAGTGAATCAGAGAGACTTCAATAACTCGAAGTCGAACACACATCGAGTTACGCGTAGCACCGAGGGTGAGTGAGTGAGTGAGTGAGTGAGTGAGTGAGTGAGTGAGTGAGTGAGTGAGTGAGTTTAACGTTGTAACGGCATTATATGGGCCAAATAGCAATGCTGTAGTACCGAGAAAAAAAGAATCAAAGAGCCAATAACGATTCTACAGGGGTCAAATAGGGGAAAGTTGTCTCAAACGGTATATCGAGACAATGGATTCGAGTTAAGAGGTTTCGTCGTATTGTAAAATAAGAGTTTGTCCAGTAGTGTGCACAGCGCCTCACGTTGGCTGGTGAAGCAAGCAGAGACGAGGCAGGTGCACTCGTCATTGACGCATGATAGCTGGTAGTTGGTGTCGCTCTTCTCTCGGGAGCAGGTGCTGGCGTCACTGCCGCTGCACCGCTCGCTGCTGACGACCCCTGGGAAATTAAGACAAAATATGTATTCATGAAAAGGTATCTCATTTATTGATTAGAATGAGGTTTAACGTCGTGTTCAAAATTATTTACTTAGATTGCGATGTGCATGTGTGTGTTTGTGTTTTTTTGTACCTATCGAATTTGTTTCAATAACCAAAAAAAACAAACAACAACAAAAAAGCTCCACTGTCGATCGATAGGAGAAGAGAAATAAATATTTACTTTGAACGCTTCGATTCTTAATTTCACTGTAATATCTCACTGTTAAGAAATTGCTTTAAAATATGTTTCTTTGCAATATTATAATTTATTTTTCAACTGCTTACAAATAGTTTCGAAAATGTTTCGAAACTTTCGTGGATGATATCCGGGTTTCACTTAAATATACAGACTTGACGCTTATTTAATTGCAAATTCAAATTCGTTCGTGAATATAATAGGTTCTTTAATAAAATACACGTTTATCAAAGGACAGGTTACTTTCCTGTTTTGCAGTGTTTGTTATCTGTCGCATGAAGACCTTGATAAAGTCTACACGTCATCAACTTTCACACAGAGGTCACGTTGAGGTCAAGTATCGTGATTATAAAGAAAACCTTTCGTATACCACACACATCACCCTTTAGGCATAACACGTAATTGAAACACTTTACTGTGACAATTATATGCTTCGAACAGGAAAATCCCGATGTTCCAATGCAATGATATTCAACTGACTTAAACCTTAAAGAATATTAATCAGCAAATGGGATTTATTGAAACAAATGATTTTTTTTGTCTGTGGAATTCCTGTTTGGTGAGGGAATGATTGAGTGAGTTAGTTCTTTTTTCAATGTTCCAGTGATGGAGACACCAGATAGCTTCACACTTTTTTTACCATATGGGGAATCGAACCTGAGCCTTTGGTGTGACGAGCGATCACAAGATTACGAAATTTATTCTTCATTTTGTTTTTTTTGGGGTGTAAGGTATTCAGTGTGGATGATTGTACTTATTCATACTTCTAAAATCTTAAGTTACTTACCGAAAGCGAGGATAACAGACACTCCGAGCACAAGGAACTTCATGGCTGTTGAGATAACTCCGCTATGTCAGCTGACGTCACCGTGGCATGCCCCAGGCGACCCTGTCTTATCATACCAGATCAGAATGTGGTATTTAAAGAAATAGATACAAAAAATATTTTAAGTTTGCTCGTGTAAAGGGTATGTTGGGATGGTATGTCCTTTAAGGCCGTCAATCTTGTGTGAGTCACATTAGTGAATAATCCTTGATTGTGTCAGTCGTTGACACCTGAGCAGATGGACTATGCTGTGACCTCATGTTTGAGGTCATATAACATGTACACTGTAATGTATCACCGACGCAAATCGTTGGGTCACCGTGGACGGTGTTTTAATAGTAGTATAAGCGTTCTTTCGGCACACGGAAAATCACGTTTCAATTCCAAAGATGGATGGACAAAACCAATGATTAATATTATGAACAATCTCCCAAGCCGCCAGTATACAGTGGCATCGTGACCACCCAATCCACATAGTCACCGCTTACGACGCAGCATACGACACCATGGGATCGCCACCGTCCGTATCTGTATAAACAAGGCTAATACATTCATCAAAGTCATTTCACATCATCAGCCATTATTAACATATGATAAACATACATCCAGCCTCTGGTTTCCATTAATACTGTGACCTCCTTCATCGTCTAGCAGAAAACGGAAAGTCGGTGGATCGGTCCCGACTGTGTCAAACCACAAAAATGGTACTTGTTGTTACCCTGCCTTGTGTGCATGCACGTCATTATGTAAGTGTGAAACTCCTGAAGGCATTATTAAATCCCATTTCACCTTACCCCACCCATTTATTCTGTATTATGCTCGTGGGTCTTTTGACATCTTTTTTGTCACTAAATCCCTTTGAAATGCTGAAAGTTAGTGAGTGAGTTGGGTTTAACGCCGCTTTGAACAGTATTCGTGTTATATCCCAGCCTAATGCGGAAGGAATGTCCAACAAACAGTTATTGTGTTAAAACTTTCGGCCTTCGGGTTTCCGCTCCTATGATTACTTTCTCAACAAAGCCAGAGGGGGATGTATTATCTGACTTATGATCCGAAAGAAAGATCTGAACAACACTTATCATCAATTTTATGTTTCCACTATTTATGAACCATTATAGGAAACGGACGTTAAATATCCCTTGCTGGCGTACATGAACCTGGAAAAGAGGTTCTTTAAAAGAATTGCGGTTTATCAGCGTCTCTGTAGCTTAATGGTTCACTCAATAGGCGACAAGTACGACGTTTGCATGTTAGATCCCACTTAAATAGAAGTAAAATCATTCCGCACATTTCCTCAAGTTAGCGCTGCAATGTGTGTTATGTAGATTGTGTTCAAATGCAAAATACATTGTATATTTCCAACGAGGTACATTCTGAAGAAACACCACAAAAGTATCAATGGCAAACCCATGTCCCAGGGTCTTCAGGAGGGAAAACCTACAAAGTGGGTTTGACATGTTGTGAAGAGACTTGACAACCAACAAGAGAATAAACCTGTCGTAGGGTTATAATGCAGGTTAAACCAGACGGGCTTGTAACGTTATAATGGGCAGCAAGATATAGAGCGGGTGGGGCAGTACTCGGACACTTAATGTTCCTAACGGCATGCAAGTTGAACCAAAGTACCTATTGACTTTCTTCCATCGTATATGTGAAGGGAGGTAACTGCTGTGGTGATTATACTCGGTAGTGGTTGTGTTCGTGCGCTTGTTTCAGCAAATTCTTGTGATATTTACTCGACGACTACTTCGGTAATCGGACGCCTGCGGTTGAAGTCGGACACCCTTGCGGCAGTACCCGGACACTTTAAGAATTTTTTAAAAATGTCTTAACCGAATATGACATAATTACAATTGTGTTTTTTTCATTGTGTCAATGAGAACATCAAAATAATAGCAACATAAATACAACTTCATTGGCTTATCTTCTCATTTTGGCATCACTGTACACAGATACATGTGTTTTTTTTATACTGACATTAGTTTTCTTCTCAGTCACTAAACCCAAACGCTGTCACCATCGAATCCTGTTTCATTCAGTCTTTCTATTATTTTGAATAAAGTACGACGTTGTGGCTTGATACGCAATAAATAAAAACAGTCTAGTTTTGGGCCCCCACCCCTAAAAGGCCCGCTGTGAGTAATTCTACCAGGAAAGAACGGTGTCACATTTAAAACGCAACCTTCCGTCATCAAAGGCGTGAGTACTCCTGACAACTGTAAGGGAACTCTGTCGACGACACGGCCAAGTATGTCCCGTTAAACCTGTCTATTGGGTGGGGGCCGGACTTCCAGATCTAAACTACGGAAATGTATGTCAGCTTCATCGGGAGTACTACTTTTGAGAGCGTTTGCGTCATAGATGTTTTCTGGTTCGTGATTCATCTTCAGTGCCATAAATGGTAACGGCTTCACATGATACACATGGTACCTATGAAGAAAGAAAATATAATATGAGATGTGGCAACATTCGCTGAATAATCTTCCGTTGTTAATTAGGTTCAAAGTCTATCATTAACCTGGTACTTCATAGTTGTCATATGTTTCCCAAAAACTTATACTCATAGAAAAAAACCAGTACATCAAATGAATATAGTTTCATATTTAATATTACCCAGTTATTGACGAAAATATTGCGATGGGTTTCGTGCTATGGTGATAGCTGACAGCATTGGTGTTTATACCCCACCCAGGTGGTCCAGAGTATACATGAATCTCGTGGAAAAGGGCGTCAAAGGGATATTCCATTTTTCTGTTAAAATATGAAAAATATGTTCATTTTTTGTACATTTTAATGTGAAATGAACACTGAGTTCACTTCTTTAAAAAAAGCAAACTGTGCCAACAATAACATTCACATTGCAGGGAAACGGGTTTTTTTCCCTCTCAGCTACAAGTGTCACACGTGAAGGGAAGGTCGGCGAGTTGTTGGTATCCCAGGCAATTCTTGTGGAACCATTTGGTACAATTAAGACATCCCACCCAGTCATCATTTGCCGCCAAATCCCGACCCAAACAAAGGTGACAAAAATCCCGGAGGGTATCATCGGAAAAATCGTCGTCGTCGTCGTATTCGTCGTCATCCATGGAGGGAATCTCGGATTCAGAGAGATCTTCGTCACTGTCTAGTGTTGCTTTTCGTTTCTCTTCAATTTGTTTTAAGAGTTTGTATGCCTTTTTCTCGTCTTCTTGCCTTCTCTTTTGCACACGCTTTTCTTCCCGTTCTTTTTCTCTTAGGGCTTTCCGGGCTGCTTTCTCTTCTTCTCGTTTAAGCTTTATTTCCTCTCTCATTCGCTTTCTGCTTTCTTTCATCTGTTTCTCTTCCTCTGCCTTTCTCTTCTTTTCAAGGAGAAGTTCCCTGATGTCTTCTCCTGAGGCAGATTTGGGCAACACTGTAGGTTTATACTTTTGGGTACGGCTCCGTACTTTAGGGAGAACTAAATATTTGTCAAATGCGTCACTGGAAGATGTGTGGGTTGTGGCTGATGTAGAATGTAAGGCTAGGTGTGAAGTGTCTGTTTGGGGTGTTGTGCTATGTGTAGTTTGTGATTTTACTGGTGCATGAGGGTCTGTATGGGGTGATGGCAGAGTTGTTTGTACGACTGGTGAGGATGCATATTCTGGTGATGTTAGTGTAGCGGAAGGTTGGGATAGGGTGTCTGCTGGGGGTGCAAATGTGAATGTTCTGACTGTGGATGGGGTTACAGGGGTTGACTGAAGGACTGGTTTCCATGGTTCAAAGATGGTGCTGGGTTTTAATTTCTGATTATCGGTAACTTTATCAGGATTGAGCGGAAACAGCCCTGATTCGAGGAAACCCCTCTTTGCATTTTCTGTTGTAGCTGCCCTTACCAAAGCAGTTTTAAATATACTGGCAAAGGTGTAACACATTCCTAACACATTCCCCGATGTTTGAAATCTGAAAATCTCGGACAGATTGGCGCCATGCATGTTTGAGTGGACTGAACAAGCTCAGGTCCAATGGCTGCATAACATGTGATGCGTGTGATGGGAGGCAGTACAGGACGATGTTGTTCTCCACACAAACAGTGCACGCTTCAAGGGTCAGGTGCGTTGAATGACCGTCTAGAAACAGAATTATTGGTTTCTTGATTGCCTGTTTATCGACATGAGGAATGAAACAAGTTTTAAGCCAAGAAACAAATAGTTCTGCGTCCATCCAGCCATTCTCGGTTCGCCCTAGAACCGCCTCCTGAAAACAATCTAGGGGGTTGTATTTGAACCTGCTACCGGGAAAGACGATCATGGGGGGAGTGTAGTCACCTGAAGCACTTGCACAAGCAAGAACTGTTATCTGGACCTTGTCTGAGGCCGACGAGTTATAAACTGTCTGGGGTCCTCGTTCGGCCACAACCCTACCACGCTTTGGACACATGGGGAAACCCGGCTCATCAGCATTATACAGCCTTGATGGGTCATGTAAGATGTCTGAATCAGTTTTGTCAGCGATGTTGGTTGTGAAGGTATCAAACCAATCAGCAATTTTTTTGTTGTGATACCATAGCAAGTTCTTTTGAAAGTTGTGTTGGTGTTCTTACTGATATTGTAGGGTTTCGTTTTAAGAAAGCCCTAAACCAATCCCCACCAGGTCCGTCATCAGTAAAAGGATTCTCCCTACCATCTAATTTGATTATTTTCTGGACCGTGTCTAACAGTTCGTCCCTTGTCCGGCCGTACCCTATACTCGACATGTGTATAGCCCAATCTGAAAGATGTCTTTCCTCGTCTTGTGATAAAATGGGTGAAGGACCTTTGCGGTAAACAAGAGGTACTTTATTGGAGAGTTTGTCATGAAGAGTACTTTTGGGTATACTGAAGCGACGGCAGCTTTGCGTGCAGACATCTGCTTGGCGTTAACAGCATCCATAGCCCGCTTTAAGTTTTCATATGAATAGGCAGGCTTTCCTCCTCGAACGCTCATTTTAGCAAATCTACACAGACGGTCCTACAATATAATTAGAACTAGTCAATGGAACTATCATATCCATATACTGAAGAATAACGAGAATGTTACTGATACGTAATACCTTCTGTTATCAGATTAGAATGAATGAGGGTCCTGATGGGTGACACGTAAAAAACGTTCAGTTTTTATGATTGATAAACGACACTTAGATAACGTCTTTTTATGAGATTGACAGTTACTGAATATTTACACTAAACACATGCAACTGACATACTGTACGTATTAACCCCCTGAATAACACCCCCAAAGACAAAGTCACGTGCACCACACCACCCCCATCCCCAATTAGAACCCTCTTAAAGTATGTCACTCGCGATCGAAAAACACCTATTGTTTTCATTTTGCATTTTCTTAAAAGCTTTTTTCAATTATTTTTATTTAAAAAATTTCTAATATGTAATTCCAAATTTTATTTGTCGACTGTCCGAGTACTGCATTCCCACGTAATTTCTCCGAGATAGTAGTCGGACACAGCTTAATTTGGTTATTTTTAGAATTTTTGCGCCAAACGTTTCCATGTTGGCATGGTCGATTCACAAGAAGTCGCCAAAAACAGAAAAACAGACCAGAAACTAGTCGTGCGGAAGCTATAACCTTATGATCAGAAACTGCAATGCATTGCCAAAACGCAACAAAATGCGTGGGCGGCATAGTCACGTGGGAAAACATGTACACGAGCTTTTATCGTGAGTGTTACCAGTAGCAGACGAATCTTTTCTGACGTCAGGGAGGAAGAGGAAGAAGCCTGCGTGAAAATTATGCGCATCAGTACGTTTGTTTATTGTGTACACGTGTTAATTTGCTGGGTGTCAGAGTACTGCCACTGTCCGAGTACTGCCCCACCCGCAGAAAACCCATCTCAAAAACTTCTTTAATACGTCTCTTTTAGAAATAAACTTCATCGTGTCTTCAACTCAGAAAAACATTAACACACAATGGGCAGATAACTGTGTATATCTCTGCTTACCTATTTGACCAGCTGTCCAGATAGCTGTCATTCCCATTTATAGAACTGCCCCAGTTTCTCTGCCCTACCTTCACTTGCAGCACTAAGTCTCCACACAGTAGCTTGAAGCTGAAACCATGAGGTGTCTTATTATCGCAGCCCTTGGTCTGGCTACTTTAGGTAGGCCTTCATTTTTACTTTAAAATAACGATAAACTAACTGTATCTTCATTTTCAGTAAATGTTTACAAACAATTTTCTGGAAATTGTACTGGTAGAGCAGCACATGCTAATCCTTTTCGCGAACACCCGGTGTTATCACTGGTGTTCAATTATCCATTCATATAAATGTCACCACTGTTTTGCTTTGTACTTGCTATGGCATCTGTTTCGGAATGGATATTCTCTATTGTTGGTCTGTTATCTATCTACCGAAGTACAGCCGAAAAAAACGGTTAAATATTTCCTTGTAGCTATCTATATGACTATCTACGTAGCTATTTATAATTACTTAACATTAACTTTCTCAAGCACCAGTGTCAGTGATTAGAAGTGAAATTAAAATAGTTATAATGGATGGCGAAATGCCATACAAATATTACGAAACATTACATTACATTACATTTTGTGTCGACAATGCACCTTGTTTGAATAGACATGTGAGGGTCCATTGAGAACATTTTCTGACAATCAGCGTTACCCGCTAATTATGAGAAGGAATAGGTACACGTTTTTTACAATATTATGAAGTTTGTACCACTACAACAGTAAAGCCATGCATGTGTCTGAACCAGTATTACAAAAGTAGAGTAAACTACGGTTATAACGAACTAAACTTAGTGGTCCCTTTGAGTTCGTTATAACCGTAGTTCGTTAAAATCATATATACAGCATATATATAGCAAATGTTTGGACAAAAAATACTTTCGTTATATCCGTCAGTTCGTTATAAGCGTGTTCGTTATAAACGTACAGTTATACAGTATTATATTAATAGCAATAGTGCTTAACCATTGTTATACCATTGTATCAGTACAGTGCCCCTATAGTCACCCCTATTGGCTATGATGTTGGGGAACGGCGTACTGTCTTATACCACCCAGGGAACATTCAGTTTGCGAAAACAGTATGAGAAATTTGATAAACCGTTTGCAATGAATATCTAACCAATATTTCGGCCGACAATGTTGTGTTTCAAACTCGATTTTGACATGTGAATGGTTGTCAAACGTATGTTGGTTGCTTTCAGTCAATCAGATACTGCGTAGTATTCATATGGCTTTTACGCTACAAAATGGCGTCAACCTTTGAAAGGAATGAAGAGGGACTATGTATCAACAACACGCCTTTGTAGTGTGAAAATACAAGTTGGCAATCTGTGTTCTTCTGTTGTCCGATTGAAGCCGCCTATACAATAAAGTCACATTGCAAGTTGTAGCAGGATCACGAGGGATTTTTTCTGCCTCTAAGAAATCCACGTGCAGCCTTTTTTTGCCCTTGGCGGGGTATAAGATATTTATTCCCCGCTTAGAAGGTTATTACCCCGCAAGGTGGGTTACACAGTATTTTATCAAGATCACGTGGACCAATCACATCCTCATCACTCTGACATGGAGGTATGATAAGTGGTTTTATGCGTTCCGCGTTAGCCACGCTCGTGGTATAAAACTTGACACGAGACGCATAAAACCACAAACGCCCTCGTGATACTGCTACAACGAATATGCCTCACCGACATGTTTTAATAGGACATCGTGAAAGGATAAAACCAAACTCAAAATTGATAGAAAACAGCTGTTCGATTGCTGTGCCAGGTGACTTTCATTGACTCTGTTGTAGATTCCAAAATTGAAACAATATATTAACCTAGAAATCTGTACGTAAAGGAACTTAGTGTGAAACCAACAAACAACCAACAAGCGGTGTACAATCAACAAATGTACTATAACATAAACTAGGTTTACACATCAAAACAATTACTGCACAGCAATTACATTGGCAGAACACAATAGGGCGATAATACAATACTCACTGACAGTATATAATATGATGGCAGTGGTCAGTATCAAATACAGTAGTGATAGCACTAGTCAGTGATAATACATATATATACCCAGCAGTGACGGTGGTGAAGCTTCCATTATGGGTTAGGATGATGAGCGATCCTCACTTGGAAGCTGATTTTGATATGATGAAATTGCATGAACAGTATTTTCCATAACATACTAACACCGTCCTGGGTATACCGGACTGGAAGTTTACACACCACACAGGCATCTAACTTCCTGACGGCTGATCACTGTCTAAACACAATGCAATGAGCGTCTACGGAATCTCAACAGAAACAATGTCACACATTTCCAATCATTGTTAAACAATAAATACACTGTCATATTCGGAAATAGCGAGGTATACGGGATTGATTCCTCCTCTCAGAAATCCACATGTCTTCTCTTGTTCGTGGCGGGATATGAGGGATGTATTCCCCCGATAAAGAAATTGTTTCCCTCCAATGTGGGATACATAGTATTTTATCACTATCACGTGAACCAATCAGATCTCATCATTCTGACATGGGGGTATGATAAATGTTTTTTGTAGCCCTGGTTGATGCCGAGGGATGCCAAGGCCATGATACCAGCACCTGCAGGCATGAAAGCTGCGACGCCCTCTCGACCTTGACTTGTGTGAGGGGAACCTGCACGTGCCTGGTGTCCAGCTGTGGAACCCATCCAGGTATAGTGATTAACATCGTCTTTGTGATTAATATCTCATTTGTGTTTATTATCTCACTTGTGTTTAATATCTCACTTATGTCTCATTTACTGCCGGTCCTGCCTTACCGTCTCTTTAAAACAATTATGTAAAGGGACTTCACATTTACCGATTTGTATTGAGGTCTGCTACAAAATGGCGTCGGCATTTGAGAGAAGTGTTTGCGTGTGTGTTTGATACCGCACTATATGGACTATAGCTCTGTTAATAATTGAGTCTGGTCTAGACAATCCTGTGACTGACATCATGAGCATCAATCCCCGCAATTGGGATACGATGACATGAAGTCAACCAAATCCTCAAGACTGACCACCTGGTGCGTTTAGTCGCTTCTTACGACAACCTAAGAGTGCTGGGAACCTATATTCTTACCCGGATATGTATCGTGTGAAAACATTAGTTGGCAAACATTAAGGAGTTTATGTTTGCGAAGTAATGTTGCCCGTGTGAAGCCGTCTTAGAGTAAGTGAGGAACATACATTCAGAATACTCATGTGTATTTTTGTTGTTGTTGTATTTTGTTTGTTTTTTGTTAAACGCCGCACTCAGCAATATTCCAGATATATGACGGCGGTCTGTAAATAATCGAGTCTGGACCAGACAATCCAGTGATTGACATCATGAGCATCGATCCACGCAATTGAGATCGATGACATGCATCAACCAAGTCAGCGAGCCTGACCACCCGATCCCCTTAGTCTCCTCTTTCGACAAGCACAGTCGCATTTTGCAGCAAGCATGGGTTGAAGACCTATTCTACCCCGGATCTTCACTGGTCTATTTCTGTTAGTGTATACACGCCCGGGTATGACGTCAGCTGACATAGCGGAGTTATCTCAACAGCCATGTAGTTCCTTGTGCTCGGTGTGTCTGTTATCCTCGCTTTTGGTAAGTAACTTAAGATTTTAGAAGTATGACTAAGTACAATTCATCCACATTGTATACCTTACACCCCAAAAAGTAAAACAATATGAACAATAAATTTCGTAATCTTGTGATCGCTCGTCACACCAAAGGCTCAGGTTCGATTCCCCATATGGTAAAAAAAGGGTGAAGCTATCTGGTGTCTCCATTACTGGAACATTGAAAAAAAGAACTAACTCACTCAATCATTCCCTCACCAAACAGGAATTCCACAGAAAAAAGAAATCCTTTGTTTCAATAAATCCCATTTGCTGATTAATATTCTATAAGGTTTAAGTCAGTTGAATATTATTGCATTGGAACATCGGGATTTTCCTGTTCGAAGCATATAATTGTCACAGTAAAGTGTTTCAATTACGTGTTATGCCTAAAGGGCGACGTGTGTGGTATACGAAAGGTTTTCTTTATAATCACGATACTTGACCTCAACGTGACCTCTGTGTGGAAGTTGATGACGTGTAGACTTTATAAAGGTCTTCATGCGACAGATAACAAACACTGCAAAACAGGAAAGTAACCTGTCCTTTGATAAACGTGTATTTTATTAAAGAACCTGTTATATTCACGAACGAATTTGAATTTGCAATTAAATAAGCGTCAAGTCTGTATAATTAAGTGAAACTCGGATCTCATCCACGAAAGTTTCAACAAACGCATTATTTTTCGAAAATCTTTGTAAGCAGTTGAAAAACAAGTTTTTTTTATTTACACACACACACACACACATGCGTCAATGACGAGTGTACCTGCCTGGTCTCTGCTTGCTTCACCGGCCAAGGTGAGGCGCTGTGCACACTACTGGACAGATACTCTTTTTTTACAATACGACGAAACCTCTTAACTCGAATCCATTGTCTCGATATATCGTTTGAGACAACGTTCCCCTATTTGACCCCTGTAGAAATCGTTATTGGCTCTTTGATTCTTTTTTTTCTCGGTACTACAGCATTGCTATTTGGCCGATATAATGCCGTTACAACGTTAAACTCACTCACTCACTCACCCTCGGTGCTACGCGTAACTCGATGTGTGTTCGACTTCGAGTTATTGAAGTCTCCATGATTCACTGGGTTACTTC